CCAAACATTTGTGCCCCCCCCCCCCCCTTTTTTTGTACTGTGTTTACTGCCTGTTTGATAATAGTGAGTTGGCCACACTGCACTTGACTTTCCTGGTGCATCTGACCATTTTCATTGAGTTTCCGAAGTGACTCGACACATGGTTGAACTATGAATCACTTTCTCATTGTCTGTACACATCAAGGCCCTGCGATTCACAGCAAGTGTATATACAAGAAAACCCTTTCCCAGGCCAGAACTGTCAGAGCCTTCCCTAGGTGTATAACAAGGCCAGTTCCTACCCCTCTCCCTTCCCCAGGTCAAGGTGTGCACAGAGGAAATGATGTCAGACTTATCCAGCCAACAACAATAAAGTCAGAAGCTAATGACCATTCTCTAAGTTGGTCTGAGCATTGGAGAGAAAATTTAGCTCAACTTCCTTGGATAATTTCAGTATGTTTATAAGATACGAGATAGGGACTTTAAGAATTAACGTATGGCGGTTTGCTCTTGGAATCTTCATGACTGTCTGCACTTTCTTATCTCTAAATGTTACTCAAATATATTACTCTGTTAATGGGGCTGTTCACTTTATTCTCTGAGTAAAATAAGTTAATCAAACTTGTATCTGTTAAAATACAACCTAGCTATCCTTCATCATAGGGGCTATCGTTGCCTAAATCTTTACTTTATTTAAATATTAAGATCATACAACTCTTGATTATGACTTAAAAGGGTACAACAGTTGCTTTCTGTCAATATAATATCTGGCACCAAATGTTTAAAATCTACCAATCTAGAATTCTTATTTTTCAGAGGAAGAACTGGAAATATACAATAGAGGAATTATTGATAGAATTGGTCATTTTGAATTCTAATTTTGATCCACTAATGAACTATTGTGTTTCAATTTTATTATTTTGGGGGGAGGGAGAGGGTAGACAATAAATTCTTTGATTCAGTTTTCTCCTTTAAGTGGGAAGCAGACTACCTACTACTTATCTCAGTAAGATATTTTAAGAACTAATGAATAAATATTAACTTCTTTGATAATTTTGTTCCTCTGGCTTTTTAAAGTCCATTCCAAGTCACCTAGCCAGATATAACATCCATGTGGGGTCAAAGTTTAAACACCCATTTCAAGTGGGGACTTTCTACATGAGGAGGACATGAGGAGGACATGTTGAGGGTAATACCAGAACAACAGGTTAGGCCCCGATCATGGAGGGCTTGAAATGTTTGCACATTATGTATTGGGCACTGGGGAGCCATGGTCAGCTTTTGAGCAGGACGAGTGGAGCTGTTTTTTAGAACTGTCAATCTGCTGTGCTGGGTAGGATGCTCTGGAATAGTGAAAGTGGCAACCAAGGAGACAGCTGTGGTCTAGGGGTGAAGGAAAGGGCTGTTACTGGAACATCAACTCATTAGGCCTTTTGGTATAATTTCATGTCACCAAGTGGTGTAAGGTGTTAACTGCATCTAAATCGCATGTCTGCGCAACTAATACCTGGACGTTGGCTTCTGAGTGCATCAAATTGAAATATGTGATTATCTCACACAGTTAGTGTCCTCATGGGCAGTGTATGTAAAAGGCCCCACTTATCTGATTCATAATATCCGTCTTTAAACAATCGGTCATATCTAAGAGGGAAGTTTTCTCTTTTAGGAAAAGATGACTTTATTTCTGTCACAAATATGATATGTGTGTATTATAAAAATATTCAAACAATAAAACCAAGTATACAGAAGGGAGAAGAGCCTCCTCACCCACCCAGCATACACACTGTTAGCGTCAGCTAGATAACACTTCAGACATCACTCCAGGGGTAGGTGGAGGCTGGTGGGTGTGTGGATGGATGGATGGACGGACGGACAGACAGACAGACAGACAGACAGGTGTTCTAAACAGAAAACAGCAAACTGACACAGAAGGAAGTCTGCAAAGGCCCTGCCTAGGCACTTTGTGTGATGTACGGGTCCAGGGGCTCAGGTGGACCAATTTGCAGCTTCCTCGGCTCTCCCTAGAGATTTGTGCTCACCCTGCTGAATTGATAGCAAGCTCGTAGGGGAGGGGAGAGGAGACTTGTGCCTTATATATACTCATACATGGATACTGCCATAACTTAAAATGAACAAAACAATCTGGAACCAAGCATTTCTATATTTATAGTTTTTTGATGTCTTTAGTAACTTGATTTTCTTCATTTTATATAGAACTCCATGTATTCCCCGACAGATTTGTGGTCTGTGTAAGTCAGCTTGCATTCAATCATGATGTTTTGGCAAGTCAGAATGAAGAATTGGTACGTATGAAAAAATTCTACGGACAAATCTGCTTAAATGCTAAGTAACTGTAAAAATTAGAAAAAAGAATTGTCTCCCGTTGTCATTCGGCTGTTGAGCACTTGAACATGTTTCAAGGAACCAAAAATGTCCTACATATTCTGCATGGTAATATTGATTAATTCGTGTGTTATATTGTTTTTCTTTTTTCCCTGAAGACCCCTTGGGTATTTAGTTTGACCAGTGGTATCTTTTCCACATCAATGTTAAATGAGAAAGCAACACGCATCACAAAAACTGTGATGGTGCTTATAATAGTATTTAAGTGAAATAAAGTCAAGTTTTCAAATGAAATGAAGCAAAATCCACGTTTCCACTGGAAGCTTTCATTGGGGTCAGTGGCTTTTGAATTTTATTCCATGGTGAATCACTGACATTTTCATGAGAACCAGTACTTTTCCCCAGTGTATTATTTCATCGTTAATAGGGTTCATTCCCTCCCTCCCCCCTCTCTCTCTCTCCCCCTCCCCCTCTCTGTCTCTCTCCCCCTCCGTCCTTCTCTCCGCCTCTCACCCCTTTTATCCCCCTCTCTCCCTCTCTCTCCCTTTCTCCCTCTCCTCATGCTAAGTCTTGAGCTCCATCAGGACCTGTTTCTATTTCATTGGAGTTCTCTATTCAGACAGATAGATATAGAAAACTTAACTTGGAATGTTGCAGTTACAGCTTGTCTTTTAAGCTTAACACATACACTCAACAGTTTCCTTGTTGTGTATGTATGTGTCTCTTGCTGCAGTCATGGTCCAGTCTACCTGAATTTACCTCTGCACAAACTCTTTTTCATATTTTTAGACATATGACTTGAAACTTTAATAAATAGGAAAAAAAAGTCTAGCAGACTTTAACACAACCATGAAGTATGACATGATTATTATGCTTCTAAAATAATTTATGGGAATATTGGATTACTCCTGATGTTTATTTTTTAATCCATATGAAATTTGAAATTTGGACCACATAGACTAAAATCAGCTTCTTATCTCATCTTAAATAAATATATTAGAAGAGAGTTTCAGAGGCTATAAGGGCAAATAGAAATCCAGGAAAAGTAAAGAGCAGAGAACTCATATTTAAATATAGCTGCCTTTGTTTGGAACAGAGGAGCCCTTTGGAAAGCCAGCCTGATCCCTATATTTCTTCTTGTTCATTTATCAGTAAAACTCTAAGTATGCACATTAAATGAAATAAGTGAAGCAAATTTGGTAAAAAGTATTAAAAGTGTATCCTTTGAAATATTTCTAGGCTGTTGAGTTATCTTAGTACATTAATAAACACTAAAGTAGTAATGTTGTTGGCATATAACTACAGTATAATATAGCTTAACTGATTCTCAGAGCAAGGGAGAAATTGATCTATCATTTAAGAAAACAACAATTAACTGTACCAGAAAGTATTATTGCTTTCAGATGGAATACAGGAGAAATTAGATCTTTTATCTGATATGTAATATTAATACTTAGTATCTTAAATTATTAAGGGAGAATTAAAACATCTCAATACAAATGAAATATTATCCCCCTTAGGAGGCCTGGTATTTATACAGATGTTAAGTTTTCTATAGCTGCTGTCATATAAATACTATAATCTGGAGGATATCCTAAATGTTGAGAATTTTCATTCCGAAAAGTTGACCAGTCTGAACCTTTTTTTTACATGAGCGAATTCAGTTTTCTTCTCTGAATTTTTCTGATATCTAGCAACAATACCTCAGAGTTGAGCTAACCATATTGACTTATAAGAAAAATGCAGTTTACATCATGAAGCTCTTTGTTTTGAGTGATTCTCTTTAGTTGTGGTCAGCCTCTGTCTCTTCAGTTGCTCTTTTTCTCCACCTCTGATCATCCCTTCACATACATGTTCCCAGCCACACACACACAAGGCAGCTAAAGCCCGATGCTACTGATCAGCTTCCTTGCTGGGCACAAGCTCCAAGCACCTTCTGTTTAGCCTACGTGGCACCAGTGCACCTCCCCTCCTCACAGGCCTCCAGCCTACCACTTCCCCAGGCTGCTGTTGCTAGAAGCAGTAGAATATCCAGGTCAAGTAAAGAGCCCTCTCCCACAAATTGCCCATCAAGCCAACTGTACCGTCCTTCCACCAGAAGTGCCTTGGAGCTTAATCCTCACTGATATTTGACCTCTGCAGAGCCTGCCTGTCTCAGCTATTTAAGGATCAATAAACAATCCTCCCTCCCGGAACTGCCTTCTGCCCAAGAGAAGGCATCCTTACTCTGTTATATACTTCAAATGCCCAAAGCCAGTGATGTCAGGCTCCTGGGAGTATTCCTTGAACTTCTTTCAAGCTTTGAATTCTTTTATCAGTTTATATTGATATTTGCCAAAGGGGAGGATCCATCTCCTTTTCTCTTGGTAGTGATTATCAAGGAACATCTGACTGGGCAAGGCCTGGGAAATCAGCACCCTGAGTAGCTGTACTGGAGATATTACTTTGGCAATAAACTTCAGTTATTTTCCTGTAACCATTTCCTTCACTCACTGTTCTGCAACCTCAGAAGTGATGAAGGAGTGAGTGAGTACCTGAGCAGCAGTCTAGGAGCCTTACTCGTGCTGTAGCCTTGAGGAGCACGAGTCCCTTTTCCTTCATCTTTTTTTTTTTCTTTTTCTTTTTGGATTCTCAAAGTATTAGTGGCAGTTTGTTAGGAAATCTGGGCACATCCATTCAAAACTTCTCTGCCAAGGATCCTTTCAGCCTGTACACAAGGAAGCCAGCTGCACTTAGCTCCCCAGTTCTTAAAGGTGGCTGCACAAAAGAACTGCTGTTGCAGATCAGGCAGTACAAAAGGGAGTAATCTCCCTCTTTTGAGGGGCAGAGTGAGCACAGCCAGGCTGCCTCTGTTCCCTGCTGTCGGCATTTCTCTTGTCCACTTGGGGATATTGGTGCAGAGGGATCCTCCATGTTGCAAGAGCTCTGCGCAGAGTGCCCATGTGCTAGGGCTGTGGGAATTGTGATATGTACTTTGGGAAGAAAGGACATTATTAAAAAATGAGTCATTATATTTTTCTTTCTAGAGTTTCTTATAAGAAATGTCAAAACCCTTGTAGCCTCAGTTTTTAACCTATTGCTAGATATGGAACTGGAGAGTCTTTTTGAGATTTTTTACCTTTAGTTGTGTCTTTCTCCCTTACCTTATTTTCCTTAGAATTATGGAGAACATAAAGTAAGTTTTTATTGCACTCAGTTATATTTCATTCCACCAATATTTTCTTATTTACAAATCCAAGTGCCTGTGCAGAGATGTTTCTTTCTTGGACATAAAGCCCTAGAGCCTTTGGGAGATTTAAAATTATTTATTTTTTCTATATTAAAGTTCTGTAAGTAACCATAGAACTTTGTATCTATCTGGGACATTTCAGGGTCAGCAAGAAACTACTATTTCATTGTGTGTTGGTTCCAGCCACTCCATCTGATCTCTAGAGACTGCTCTTCCCATCTGTCCTTATCATCACATTTTCACATCATTTGCTGAGTGCTAGTGTTGTGCCAGGAGCTCTGTTAGGTGCCAGAGAAATAAGAAAAATAGTTAAGTTCCTTTGCCCTCAGGGAGCTTATGGTCTGGCAGATTAAGGTTGTCCTTGTGGCCTAAAAATGTGATTCAGACAGAGCCTCCATTTTTCCTAAAGATGTTTCCACTCTGTGCATATATCCTTAATGGTTCAATTTGGATCCTTTCTACCATTCAGAAGGAAAGTTCAAAATTCTAAAATTTCTTGCTTTTGAACTAAGCTGTCGACGTCTGAGATCCTTTTGGAAATTAAAAAATGCGTGTAGTACTAGTGCTTCCTAGGAGTGTATGTATACATTGAGATATTTGGGTTCTTTGCTTTGTGCTTCATTTGGGTCATGGCTGAGCTGTGAAAATAGCTGTCAGGGTTCTGCAGACATACCCCAGCTACACAAAGCTAGGTCCTCACTGTAGCATCAGCTAAGTAGAAGGATTACTGGGATGTCTTGATGACAGACAATATATCAGCACTAAATTGAACACTTCTCTTAAGTCAGACTACTGTTTAGCATTAAAGAATTCTCCTAGTTTACAAATATGAAATTGTAGTGAAAAGGAGTCAAAAGCAATAAACTACCGTAGGCTGGGTTATTTTTAGCTTGGCTCTTGTGTCCCTCAGCTGTACATAATCCAGCCTCTGTGGTCTTTAGCCCTCCTCTCACAAGGGGGAGAGTATCAGATTATCTCCAAAATCCTTTCTCATACAGAATTTCTGTCAGAGGAAGCAGACAAAACTGTAGCTAAATAAAAACTATAAAGTGATTTTGCGTAGAAGAGAACTTTATTGGTAGATTTTTAAATTACGATAAAAGCTTTTGAGTAGAGTTGTATTTTATCTTAGGAAAGATAAACAGAAATTATAAGGAAACATTTTAGGCCTTATGTTTTTAGAACATAAGAAATAAACTACTTAACAATTTGAGGGCTGGCTGGTTAGAGCCAGCCTTGTAACACCAGGGTCAAGGGTTCAGTTCCCCATTCTGGCCAGCTGCCAAAACAAAAAAAAAAAACAATCTGACTATGCACTGACTTTTATACCCTGATGACAGAATTCTTCAACTTTTATAAGGAACTTTTGCATCAGTGTAAATCAGATCATTCAACAAAAGAATTCTCTATTTTTTTAGATTAAAAAATTAAAAGGGGAGTGGGTGACTTTTTTTGGTTCTTCGTGACATGTTATATATAGGCTTTAAGCATTCATTCTTCTTTTTTCTTATCATATTTCCTAAACAGTGCTAGTGGCGCATTACATGGAAGCTATTAACAAGAGATTCCTATTGCACTAGAAAAAGGTCCTTGTGTGATAAGATGTTTCCATATTTCACATTTTCCACAGTGTTCTAAACTTAGTTTTTACTTAATAACTGATTGCCAAAACTATACATGTTCATTGTACAAAAATTTTCTAAATCCAAATATATACACAGGAATAAAAAT